GGGCTGAAGGGGCCCTGGGGCAGCCAGGGGGAAACTGGGGCCTGGAGTGGGGGGTTGGGCAGGGCACCCCCACCTGGATGCAAGTGTCCGGCCCACAGGCCTCGTCCCTGGGAATGTCCACGAAGGCAGCGTCCACTGTGCCGTCATCCTGGGCGGGAGGGGCGGTCACAGGCAGTGAGGACAGTCCAGGTGCTCCCTGTCCCTGTCCCACACGTGTGTGTGTGTGTGTGTGTGTGTGTGTGTGTGTGTGTGTGTGGCGTGCGTCAGCCCCTGCTCACTCCCCCCAGGCGGCCCCTGGCCTGGAGGGCGAGGGGGTGGAAGGACACTGGGGTCAGGGGTCAGCCCTCCCAGGATGCTGCCCCCACCGCTCACCGAGGCTGCAGAGCGGGTGGTGGCCTGCAGGGCCTGGTGGCAGGCCAGGGGCCAGGTCTTCCTCCCGTGGCTCAGGCACACCTGGAAGCGGGCGGGGCTGGGCGAGGAGAAGGCGACCCGGAGGTGGGTGCCCGAGGGCGCTGGCCAGACAGTCATCTTCCAGGCTGTGGGTGGAGGGGTGAGGCCCAGCCCCCACCGTCCCTCCCTCTCCGCCCCCCAGCCGCCCGCCTCCCGGGGATGTGCTGCCTCCCAGGGCAGAGGCCACAGCTGGAGGCCGCTCACCTGGGAAGCGCGGCTGCTGGAAGGGGCACCTCACGTGGAAGCCCAGGCTGGTGGAGAACTGCAGAGAGGCGGGCGCTGGGGGTGCCGCTGGGGCGAGGGCGGGCTTGGGGGGGGTGCCGCCTGGCGTGTGAGGCTGGGGCGTCTGTCCTCACAGCCCTGGGGCCGGGCTCCCCAGCCCTTAGCTCCGCCACGGACCGACGGGAGCGGGCAGAGGGGTGGCAGGGGGAGTGGCCCAGGCTGAGCCAGGCTCTCCGGTTGTAGGGCCGCCCCCCCCCCCCAGCGCTGGAACCTGCGGCCCAGCCCACTCACCTTGAGGCAGAGCTGCGGCTGCGTGTCCACCAGAGAGAACTGCACCTGCGGGGTGGTCAGGGGCCGTGGGCACTCCCCCCTCCCCCCCGCCCCCCTTACCCCCTCCCCCCGTGGGTACTCCCCCCGCCCCCTCCCCCCCGTGGGCACTGCCTCTCCTCCCCCCCTCGGGCACTCCCCCCTCCCCCGTGGGCACTCCCCCCGGGCACTCACCCTGCCGTGGGCACTGCCTCTCCCCCCCCCCCGGGCACTCCCCCCTCCCCCGTGGGCACTCCCCCCGGGCACTCACCCTGCCGTGGGCGGGCCGCCGGGAGTGCTGCAGCTCGAGGCAGGCGGGCCCTGGCTCCGGGCACCAGCACAGGCTCACGAGGCCGCTCAGCGGACAGGCGGGCTCCCAGCTCAGCGCCTGGCTGGCCGGGTGGTAGCGGACGGCCTCCCACAGCGCCTCCGCCGCCGCGTCTGCAGGGCCCGCCCAGGTCAGCGGCGGTGGCCACGGACCTACCCCGGCGGGACAGGGCCCGGCCAGACCGGCAGGCGCGGCTCTCCCGTGGGTCCGCCGCCGGCGGTGCCTGGACGTGCGCAGTGTCCCCACGGCCTCACCCTCGCACCTGGACGGGGCGGCCCCCGGCTGGACACTCCCGCCCGCCCCTCTGCCCCCATCCCCCCCAGGGCACTCGCCCCTCTGCCCCCCGCCCCTCTCCCGCCCCCGCCCCGCCCAGGGCACTCGCCGTCTTCGAAGGGGCAGGTCTGGGTCCGCACGGCATCGGGGGTCGAGGCCCAGCTCTGTGGAGAGGCGGGGTCAGCGCGGGCCGGCCCGTCCCTGGCCCCTCCGCCCCCCCCCCCCCCGGGCAGCCCAGGCCGCCCCCCACTGACCTCCAGGCACAGGCACGGCAGCTCCCGGCTGTAGGGCAGGGAGACCATCCCGGGGACGCTGTTGGCCGCCACCTGCAGGGGACCCAGCCCAGCCCAGCGCTGAGGGGCGGGGCCTGGGTGGGCGGGGCCTCTGTGGGCGGGACAGCGACTGGGCGTGGGGCGGGGCCTCTGTGGGCGGGGCAGCGACTGGGCGTGGGGCGGGGCCTTTGTGGGCGGGGCAGCGACTGGGCGTGGGGCGGGGCCTCTGTGGGCGGGGCAGCGACTGGGCGTGGGGCGGGGCCTCTGTGGGCGGGGCAGCGACTGGGCGTGGGGCGGGGCCTCTGTTGGCGGGGCAGCGACTGGGCGTGGGGCGGGGTCTGAGGTGGGTGGGCCCAGGGGGCTGTGAGCAGAAGGGGCGGGGCTTGCATCGGGGCGGGGCTTGGGCTGAGTGGGCGTGGTCCGGGCCTCCGTTGTGTGCGAGGCTTGGGCCTGGGGCTCACCTGCACCAGGGCGCCCACGTCCTCGCAGGTGAACCACTTGAGGCAGAGCCGCACGTAGTAGTCGGTGCCCCCAGGGGCCTCGGGCAGCTGCACCAGGATGACCTTGCGACTGCGATCCACCCAGTAGGACAGCTTCCGGGCTGTGGCGGGGGTAGCAAGGGCGGGTCACACTGGGACCAGAGCACCAGACACTGGGTTCCTCCTGTCCTGAGAGCTCGGGGTGGGGCCCCTGCCAGACCCCGGTGTTTGGGAGTCGCTCCCCCAGGACCCATCTTGATTGCGGAAGTGGGGGGAGAAGGCCCCGGCGGAGGGCGGTGGTGCGGCCACCTGAGGGGCTCCCCACGAGGCTGTGGTCCACTCGGAGGAGGGGGCTCACCCAGGCAGCCGGGCAGGTTCCTCCCCACGTCCTCGTCTCCACAGTCTGCAGGTGACAGAGGCAAAGGGGCTCAGCCTGCCCTGCCCAGGCCATACCCCAGCTGTGCCTCTCCAGAGAGGCCGTGCCCCAAATTCGCCAGACGCCCTGGCCAGATGGGCCCTGCCGCCCTGGGTGAGTCCCCCCTCCATCGGTCCCCAGAGGCCCGCCCCCCTGGGCTCCTACCTTCCACGTTGTACTGCTGTTCCAGCTGCACCCCACAGAAGTGGGGGACAGTTCTCAGGGTGACGTGGACGCTCTGGGCTGCGCTGACCTCAAAGCAGCCGAAGTGCACCTGGAACTGGGCAGATAGAGGTGTGACCTGGGCCTCTGCCCTCCCTCCCTCCTTGGCCTCTGCCCTCCCTCCCTGGCCTCTGCCCACCCTCCCTGGCTTCTGCCCTCCCGCCCTGGCCTCTGCCCTCCCTCCCTGGCCTCTGCCCTCCCTCCCTGGCCTGTGCCCTCCCGCCCTGGCCTCTGCCCTCCCTCCCTGGCCTCTGCCCTCCCTCCCTGGCCTCTGCCCTCCCGCCCTGGCCTCTGCCCACCCTCCCTGGCCTCCGCCCACCCTCCCTGGCCTCTGCCCTCTCTCCCTGGCCAGGCCAGCTCCACTGGACACAGCCGGAAGGAGGATCTGGAAGCAGAGCGGGAGCGTTGCTTGTCCCTGGGCGTCGGTGGCAGGGCCCTGGGACAGGCCGTGGCCAGGTGGCCGGGAGGGGCGGGCAGACAGGAGCAGGCAGAGGACAGGGACTGTTACTTGGCAAAGGCTTGGGGCTGGGCGGGCAGGCCCAGGAAAGACTCCGGCCTCACCTGCTGCCCCACGTGCAGCCGGCGCGAGGCCCTGGGGACGCGCACGCTCTGACAGTGTGTCTCCTGCGTGTCCATGCTCAGGGCGCAGGCCTCCAGGCCCCGCAGGCTCTCTGTGGAGGGGCATGTAGTTACGGGGTTCCCAGCCAGCCCCGCAGTGCTGTGGGGTTAGGGGAGCCCGGCGCCCCCCATCCTGGGTGTCCCCTCTCACCATGCAGCCTGAGAGAAGTGTTCACACGCAGCAGCAGGGAGCAGCCATCGCGGGGGTCACACTTCATGGCGGTGGAGAGGGTCAGGGCCCCCAGGACTGACCGGGGCATGGACGCGGGGGGCTGGTGGCAGAAGCTGCTCAGGATGCTCCCTGGGGAGGGAGGAGGGGGTGAGTGCCACAGGCTCCCTGGCGCCCAGGGAAGCTTCTGGGTCAGGCTGTGGGGGAGGGCTCTGGGGTGCACAGCCAGGAGGGGCCCTCAGGACCTTGCCCAGGGCAACCAGGGCCCGTCCCCTTCCCCCTGGGGAGTGAGGCTCAGGCTGTCTGTGGGCAGCAGGCGTGGGGCCAGGCCAGTGGGGCTGGCTGAGGCTGAGCTGAGGAAACGGACAGACCGTCTACTCTCCTGTGCGTTGCAGCTTCGCTGCCCCTTAGTTCCTTCTCTTTCTTTTTTTGTTAATCCTCATTGGAGGATATATTTTTTTCCCATTGATTTTTAGAGAGAGTGGAATGGAGGGAGGGAGGGAGGGAGAAAAACCATCGATGAGAGAGACACATCAGTTGGCTGCCTTCTGCGCGAACGGGGGTTGATCGCTACACAGGTACGTGCTGTGACCGGGAATCTCCGGTCTGCAGGCGGATGCGCTAACCACTGAGCAGTACCGGCCAGGCTGCGGTCCCTTTTTTCAAGCGTCAAATGGTGCCGTTGGAAAGTCCGACACAATATGCTTCTCTGTCCACCTGTGAGCTGTAGACTCTTTGCCTCGATGCCCCGAAGACCCTTCTCTCTTTAAAACCCAGTGACTTTGCCAGAAGAGGTTTTGGTGTTGGGTGTTGGGACCGATATTCTTGGGGGTGTGGTGCGCCCTCTCGATATCTAGTTTAAAGGAAACATTTTAAATCTTGGACAGTGGCTGTCAGAGTTTGTGGCGGAGGCTTCTCCCTAAGAGAGCATCGTTTTGGGACGTCTTTGCCTATTGGTAACCTTTACCCTTTTTTCACGTGTCATTCATGTCATTTTATTTATTTATTTATTTATTTATTTATTTATTTATTTATTTATTTTAACGTATGAATTGTTTATTTCTGGGTTTTTCCATTTATTATTTTAAAAAAATATTTTTATTGATTTCAGAGAGGAAGAGGGAGAGAGAGAAATATCAGTGATGAGAGAGAATCATGGATCAGCTGCCTCCTGCACGCCCCACACTGGGGTTCGAGCCCGCCCCCCAGGCCTGTGCCCTGACGCTCTGTCCACTGAGCCACACCAGGGGGGCATGGCCTCTGTTGCCCTTGTCCTGCTCAGCCTCGAGGTCGCTCCAGGCTCCGCTGTCCCTGGAGCAGCTGGGACCGTGGGAGGTGGTGGCTCTGCCCTCCGTTGGGGGGTCCAGGAGCAGAGCCACCGGGGGCGCTGGCACCCACTGACCGGCCGTTTGTTTATTTTTTCATTGTTTCCCTCGTCCGAAGTGACACTCAGGAAAAGCATAGCTCCCAGAAATGGCCGAGATCTTACCGCCCGTTTTCTTCGAGGGTTTTTAGTTTTGATCTTACGCTGAAGTCTTTAATCCAGTGTGAGTTTGCTCTTGGGTGCGGTGTGGGAAGGGGGTCTCGTTTCCTTTTTGTGGCATGTGATTTGTCCAGTTTTCCCAGCACCATTGATTGAATAGACGGTTTTTACCCCACTGTGTGTTCTTGCCTCCTTTGTCTGATATTAGTTGGCCGTAAAGGTGCGGGTTTATTTCTGGGCTCTCGATTCCGTTCCACCGGCCTGTGTGTCCGTTTTTGTCAGTGCCATGCTGTTTGTTTGCTTTTTCATGACCAACCTGTTCTTTATTTAAGCCATTTCCTGCCATCAGCAAAGAGACGGAACATCCGTGTGCCCTACAGTCATCGTTTTACGTTAGGACAGAAGTCAGCTTAAGGTCCCGTACACTGTTCTGGCCCATGTGCAGAGTATGGCCCAAACCAGTGCTGTGGGCCCACTGGGCAGTGGTCCAGGTTCTGTTTATTCGTCTTCATAGCCGGTGGGCAGCGGGTTCAGATGCGGATTATGGAATAGAGTTTGGTGCCATCTCCCGGGGGCAGGGCTTGGTCCTGGGCGGAGGTGGGGTGGGCGACGAACTCGCCGCTCGCGCTCCCCGCGGTGCGACTTGAGAAAGACGTGCAGCGTGCTCACGCCCGCCCCGGGGGGCGCCACGAAGTAGGTGAGGGCCTTCCACAGGCGAGCGGAGCCCTCCTCGCCGAGGGCGCCACTCGACATGGGCCGCGCCAGCTGGGGCCGCCACCGACCCAGCAGCCCAGACACCCGGGCCGCCGCCGCAATCGCCATCTTTTTACCGAGCAGCCCCGTGCTGTTGTGGTCGCTCTGGCCTGTGGTCCGGTTCGACATCAGGTAGCGTGATTCCTCCAACTTTGTTCTTTTTTCCCCTCAAAATGGCTGTGGCCCTTCAGGGTCTTTTGTGGCTCCATACACACTGTAGTGACATCTGTCCTCGTCCTGTGAGCACGCCGTGGTCTCCCGACAGGAATTGCTCTGGGTAGCGTGGACAGCTTAGTGACGTTAGGTCTTCCTGTCCGCGGACATGGTATATGCTTCCACTTATTTATAACTTCTTTGAATTCTTTCATTAATTTAATGTCTTATAATTTTCCGAGGACAGGCCTTTGACACCCTTGGTTAAATTTATTCCCATGTGTCCTTTTTTGGATGAAATTGTAAATGGGATTGTTCTCTTAGCTTCCCTTTCTGATAGTTTACTGTCAGTACATAAAAATGCAACAGATATCTGGGTGTTTACTTTGCACAGTATCCTGCTACTCCACTGAATTCATTGATCCGTTCTAGTAGTTTTTTGGTAAAATCACTCTTATTCAGCCCAGTACTGGAAGTCCTAGCCACAGCAGCCAGATGAAAAGAAGAAATAAAAGGCATCCACATTGGAAAGGAGGAAGTGAAATGCTCACTGTTTGCAGATGGCAGGACACTCTGTGTACCAGTAGAGGAACCTGAAGACCACCACGCCCTGGCCTGTCTGGCTCGGTGGATAGAGCGTCGGCCTGCGGACTGAAGGGCCCCAGGTTTGATTCCCGGTCAGGGCACAGGCCTGGGTTTCGGGCTCAACCCCCAGTGGGGGGCGTGCAGGAGGCGGCCGATCAATGATTCTCTCTCATCATTGATGTTTCTATCTCTCTTTCCTTCTCCCTTCCTCTCTGAAATCAATAATATATATATATTAAAAAGACTGCACTAGACATTTCTTTAGATTGTTTCCTATTAAACTCAAATTAAATAAAATACTTATTTTAAGTGGCATAAGGTAATTTTATTTCTATAAAATATTTTTTCTGCTTATCCTATTATATGTGCCTACAAAAATGTCTAAACAATGTTTTCTTAATGTAAATCATGTTTATGTCTATACAGGGGCTTTGTAGTAAAATGTATTTTTAGAACATTTTTAATCCTCCTCTGAGGATATGTTTTTATTGATTTTTAGAGAGAAGACGGGAGAGAAAGAAACATCCATGAGATTGGTTGCCTCCTGCATGTGCCCAACCGGGAATCGAACCTGCAGCCTTTTGGTGGACGGGCCCAAGTGAGCCACCCACCGGCCAGGGCTGGAGTGACATTTGTTTTGACTTTCTTCCTAATATAATAGTCGACACCACTTATGTCCCTTTAGCAAATAGAAGCAGTGTCTACAGAGACTGAGGCTCTGGTAAGTGGGGTTTCTATTCGTTGCTGGCGGGGTGGGAGGCGTGACCTCACACTCAGGGAGCCCATGTGCCCCAGGCCAGGGATGGGGCGATCCCGGCTGTGGCAGACCTGGCCCAGGGGGACGAGGTGACTCTGGTGGCTGGGAGGGCAGCCCGGCCCCCTCACCCAGAGGTACTCACGGGTCACATGACTCCTGCAGACGAAGCCCTGGAGACAAAACAGGGAGAGGGTGAGAGGTCAGCTGACCATCTTGTCCCACCTCCTGAACCCGCCTGTGGGGGGTGGGGGCAGGGGAGGCCCTGGGCCCCCGCAGTCGCAGTCCCGGGAGGTAGGGGGTGCCCCAGTCCCTGGTTCCTCCTCCAAGTACCTGGGGACACGGCCCCGCGAAGCCGAGCCCGAGGGCCCGTGTGCAGTGGCCACTCAGGCAGCGGTGTGGCCTGGGCCCCGTGGACCTTCAGGGCCCCTGCCCAGGCTTCGTGCCCACACAGCAGGGTGGGGCTGCCCTGGGCGCCCGAGGGCAAGACCCATGACCCACAGGGACACCAGGGGCAGCCGAAGCGACAGCAGGGGGGCCTCTGCCCCTCCCCCAGAAAGAACTGGCCTAGTGACCCCAGGAAGTTGGGACGGGGGCGGGGGGTCCAGATGAAGACCTGGGCTCCCTGCTGGTGGCACCCGTGGGGCACGAGGGTGAAAGTGGGAGCCCCGCCCGCCTGGCACCCTGAGCAGGCGAGACTGAGCAGGGCGGGGAGGGCAGGAGACCACACAGACGGGGGCGGGGGGGGGGGGCAGGTGGATGTGCCCTCAGGGACACAGGACGTGGGGCCGCGGGCAAAGACCGAGGCAGAGCGCGCCTGTGGCCTGTGCCTCCCGGGAACCCTGCATCCCTGGCGTCTGGCCGTGGGGAGGGCCGCTGGGGTTTTCCACTGGGCTTCCCGGGGCTTCCCGGCCCACGGCCGATGGTGGGGGGTGGGGGGGTGTCTGTGGGGAGGGACCCCTGTGCTGCCCCCACCAGCCCGAGTCCATCAGCCAGAGGAAGGGCCCAGCTTCCTGGGCTCACCTGTAGGACAGCAACAGCCAGTGGGGTGGGGACCCCTGAGGCCCATGCACCCCGAGGCCTCCCTCCCTTCTCCCCATGGGGAGCACTTGCCCTGCCGTCTGTCCTGGTCCTCCCAGCCCTGACTTCAGGTCAGCAAGGAGCGTGGCCCCGGCCAGGAGCGGCCCTCCAGGGACCTGAGAGGGACAGAGGCCTCTGCTGTCCCCTCCCCCCTCCTTCCTTCCTTCCCTCCTGCACCTCTGCCTGCACCTCTGCCTGCCCCCGGGACCCTCCTGCCCCCGGGACCCTCCTGCCCCCGGGACCCTCCTGCTCCCGGGACCCTCCTGCTCCCGGGACCCTCCTGCCCCTGGGACCCTCCTGCCCCCGGGACCCTCCTGCCCCCGGGACCCTCCTGCCCCCGGGACCTCCTGCCCCCGGGACCCTCCTGCCCCCGGGACCCTCCTGCCCCCGGGACCCTCCTGCCCCCGGGACCCTCCTGCTCCCGGGACCCTCCTGCCCCCGGGACCCTCCTGCTCCCGGGACCCTCCTGCCCCAGGGACCCTCCTGCCCCCGGGACCCTCCCCCTGCACGGGGCACCCAGAACCCTCCTGCCCTCATCTCCCCACCTGAACTTCCTGTTTCCTCACAGCCGGAGGCACCACCCCAGTCCCAGGGTCCCTGCCCCTCCGAGGCCCAGCCTGGCCCTTGCCCGCCCTCCAGCCCCTCAGCCCCCTTGTCCCTCCCCGGGGTCCTGGCTTCTGCTGGACACAGTCCCAGGCTTCTCGGAGCCGCCTCTCCTGACGGAGGCCTGGGCACCCCCAGTGTCCCCCGGGCCCAGCCCCGCAGAGAGGCACCCAGAGCCTCGCCCGGCCGCCCGCCGGCCCTTCTCCTTCCCTCCGCAGTCGCCCCCCCTCCCCGCTCTCCTTTCTCCGTGGGTTTTACAGCTGCGCCCGCACCTGGACGGCACGCGGCGTCTGGTCAGGCCCCCAGCTCCGCGACCCTCCCGGGCTGGCCCTGCTGAGCCGTGGCCTCGGCGGGGGCACCTCCCGGGATGCGGGCACCCTCCCCAGGCCGATGTGCCGGGGACCCCCCCACCCCCCAGGCTGAGTCACCTGCTCTGCCTGAAAAGTCCCGGGACAACACCTCTGAGCCGCCCGCCCCTCCCGCCCAGGACGCGCGAGTCCCCGAGGCACTTCCTCCTCAGCATCGCAGCCGCCCGCAGCCAGGCCGGGAAGCGGTGGGGCTGGGCTCCAGGCGCCCCTAACCATCCCCGGGAGGCAGGGCTCCGGTGCAGCTCCTCTGCCCCTTGGGCGCTCAGCCAGTCTCCCAGTGCCCGCCCGGGCCCCCTCAGACTCCGGTCACCACCATGCGGCCCCTGCACCCCACCTGCGCCCCCGTGTGCCGGTCGGCCAGTGCCCCCCACGGAGCCAGGGCTGAGGAGGGGAGGGGCTCACCTGAGAGCAGGACGGGCCGCAGTCTGTGACCCGGGGCACCGCCAGGCTGGGGCAGGTGCTCCAGCTCAGGGCCAGGAGCGCAAGTGCTCCCCCGGCCAGCATGGCGCGTGCAGGACAGTGTGCGTGTGCGCTGGGATGGGGAGCCTGCAGGGTGCCCGTGGCCACTCTCCTGCCTCCCGGACACTCCACTCCCGCTCCGTCGCTGGCTCCTGGTGGAATAGAGCCCAAGGGGGCGGCCACAGCCCCCGCCCCAGCCCCAGCCCAGCCCCAGCCCAGCCCCGCCTGTCCGGGCTCGCTGCGCCTGCGGCCAGATGCCCTGGGCTTTCGAGGCTGCCAGACGCCTGAAGCTTGAGTCACTGGGCTCCCAGGTATCCGGGCTCTCCAAGAGTGAACCACGGGCTGTGGGATCGGGGACACCCCCCACCCGATGGCTCCTGGGTACCCCGGTCTCCCAGGCACCCCTGGGGGCGGGGGGTGGATGGTGGCCAAGGAGGGGCTCTGCTGTGTTGGCTGTGGGAGATCGGGCGCCTCACCAGCCCCCATTCCTCCCTCTGCGGGTCAGCTCTCCCTGGGGAGGGACCTGGGCTCCTCTCCCAGTCCTGGGTGCCCACCGCCCCTCTGGGCTGGAAAGGCTGCACCCCTTTGCTGAGCTCTCTGGCTGCTCTCCCCGGAACGCCGGGGCCTGGCTCGGGATCACACTGAGGCTGGAGGCTCCAGGCCCCAGACCTCCCCAATGTCCGCGAAGGCCTGGCCCTGGCCACTCCTCCAGCCCCTCATCCTGTGTGGGCTGGGGGGGCTGGAACACCCCAGCCTGAGCGAGAGAGTCTCAGGCCCCCACCCCTGGTCACATGGCCTCGCAGCCCCTGACAGCAGAGGGCCCAGAAGTCCAGCTGCAGGGGCAGGTGAGGGGTTGGCCTTGCTCAGCGCCAGGAGGGTGGGGGGTGGGGGTGGGGGGGGAGAGCGCGGTGCAGAGCCTGGGCCAGCAGAGCGGGCCTGTGCGGGATAAGAGCGAGGGAACGGCTGCCTTCTCCCCGACCTGTAGCTGGGGCTCCAGGGGAGGACTCATTCCAACCTGCCCGTGGGCGGGGGGGCCCTTCGGGCTGGTCTCGGCAGGTGAGGGGCGTGGGGCGTGGGGTGCGGCACCTGGATGGGGTGGGGGCTCCCTAAGAAATAGCACAGCCCTGGCCGGTGTGGCTCAGTGGCTAGAGCATCAGCCCGTGGGAAAAAGGGTCCCGTGTTCGATTCTGGTCACGGCCCGGTCGGCGCGTGCTGGGGGCAACCAATCAGTGTGTCCCTCTCACACCCATGTGTCCCTCTCTGTCTCTCTCCTTCCCTTCCACTCTCTCTAAGACAAAAACAAACAAACAGAAAAACAGAAAAATATCCTTGGGTGAGGATTAACAACAACAAAAAAGAAAGAAATAGCACGGTTAAAATTGCACAAATTTGCTAAAATAGCTCTGTATACAGGTTCCTCATCAGGGGGAAGGTGTCCAAAGACATGAGCCGCGTCCGGAGGCCCCGGGGCCTGGGCGGTGCGTCCGAGTCCTGGTCCTTGGCATTGGGTGCAGGGCGAGCAGGAAGGGGGCGCCGTAGGACGGACGGCAGCGTCTGCAGGGCTCGACGGGCAGCGAGCGGAGGTGCACTAGACGTGGCGCGGCCAGGTCCCTCTGCAGCCCTGGGGGGAGAGAGGCCTTGAGACCTCGCCCACCTGCCCACACCTCCCACCTGCCCCCACCTCCCACCTGCCCACACCTCCCACCTGCCCCCACCTCCCACCTGCCCACACCTCCCACCTGCCCCCACCTCCCACCTGCCCACACCTTCCACCTGCCCCCACCTCCCACCTGCCCCCACCTCCCACCTGCCCACACCTCATACCTGCCCACAC